TGCTTGATGCTTTCACTCACAGGTGGTTTCCGGGGACCGGTGGCACGGATCAACTAAAATAATCTCCTGGCATTACCTGCTTTCTGGGCCTCTTCCATTTCTTTGGCTTTCTGTGTCCATCATACTTCACGGTGTGCTCGAACGCTCACTTTCACTTGACGTCTGATAATTCGTCGAGTCAAGTTATGTTAGGTTGGGGGTACTTCTCCGAGATTTGGGCAGTGCCACCGTTCGGTCTGATATTCAATGCTTGGGGGAGTCTGGTGGTGCCGTGCCACAGGCGAATTTTCCAGCACTGTGCAAAGAGGTGGCGATCGCGTCTAAGTATTAATTCTCATGTGATGGTGGATAGTTGGAAGAGACTCTAGAAGATGGTTATCTTAAATTTCTCTAACACCCAGTCTCTCAGTTTCCAAGCGATTTTCCGCACCCTTACGCGGCGCTGGAAAGCGAAGGGGGAAGCGGCTCCGAGCGAGCGCGTTTTCGGAATCCACAAATGTGTTCCAAAACGACCGGCAGTCGGTTGTTGATCCGCGCCATCGGCAATTGATGGCAATGTGAGTTCATAGCCGGCACGTCGTTGGAGGACACCATGTGACCAGGTGACTTGGGCTATTTCGGAAGCTAGTACTGTGATGGAGTGGCTAGCTCAGCCGCTGTGCTTGCATTTTGAATTTTTGTTTCTGAGACACAGCACACATCGACGTCAAGCGAGTCCAGTCTGGGAACAATATCAACTTGTTTCAGAGTGTGGACATTTAAGGCAGCCAGACAGATTGGGTGTTGAGGCTTGAAGTTGGATTTCGAGACGCCTGGGGATGTTGGCGCTGGATGACGCGCAGGTGTTACTTGAAAAACCGATGCAGGATGAACAGGGTTATCAGCGCTTACTGCTAGATCCACAAGGAGGGTTTTTAATGGGGTGGGGGAGACGGAAAAAAGTCAGTGAAAGGGAAAGAATGGAAGCCTCAACAATAGCCTGTCTTCGCTTACCCGCCCTTTCGTATGCAGTAAGGCGAACCGACTAATGGCACCATGTAATCGCCGATGTGGCGAGAGTTCATTTGTTTGTGCAAATCAAAGTTGTTCGTGGGCTGGAATACTGCGAAGGCGCCCAAACGTAGACAGGAGGACGATTAGGGGCTGCAATCAGAGCCAATGGCTTAAAAGCTTCTCAAGGCAGTGGTATTTGGCAGGAAATGCAGGTAAAATACCATTTTTACGAAACACGTTGCCACATATATTCGATCCCTCAGTCTAACGGACCGGGAAACTGTTCGTCAGATTCCTGACCATTGATCAACGTAGAATGAGAGAATATGCGAGTGTCGCGCGGACACCCCTAGTATAGCCCAGTGGTTCTGAGAGGTACAAAAATTGTCACACCATGGTAAAGTCCAGTCTCTTCGTGACGGTTGGCGTCCAGTGGCTCAACAGGAGTTGATTGACGTCCATTGAAACATAAGTGCGTTTACGCCGTACGCCACAATATAAAAAATGAACATCTTAATAAGTCTCGTGAGAATGAGTCCTTTTTTGAACGGAATGAGTCAGCGAGCTCGTTCGCTTGGGTTAGTTTTTCATTGGTGATCTACCGTATTCATAAGCTACCCAGCCAAACCGTTGACGGCATTGTGTTGGTGGCGGCAAGGCGCTCTCAAGGTTTTCCGGGCTTGGTTGGGCCACCGATTACAGGTAAGTGAAGATGGTAAATGTGCACACCTCGCTGACAGTCGAAACTTACCCGATTGACAGGCGTGATTCGGTTTATCTGGATTTGGATAAAACAGTATAAGCACACGGATTTCGCCCTCTCAATGACAGACGAATCAGCGATGCTCCAACTGACCAATGTATCAGGTTACGTCACGTAAAGATGTTACCGAATCCCAAGACTCTACAAGAATGGTGTGGCGTAACAACATTGTTTAACGGCTTAAAATGAGAGGTCTTGAAGCATGGTTAGGTGAGGCATACGTGGTTCTGCTTGGGTGTTGAAAACCCTCCATAACCGGTCCCAGTGGTGGGTACGCTGTTTTTTCCTAACCACGCTGCTTAAGTAAAGTTTGCATCCTGCGAGGCGCTTGTTCTTGTTGTGACTTGTAAGAGTTGCTCCTGACATCCCACTTTTCTGTGATGTCCAGATGTGCAGGTACCTTGTTCTTGACGTAGGGCGTTCTGCACTACTTTTTATAGCGTCTTTGTGGTTGTGCGACGGTTAGGCGCTGGTATGTACCACTGATATATCGTCGATGATGATATTCGGTTTTAATCAAGTGTAAACAGTTTGAAAGCACTCATATAAACCTATGGTCAGTGGTTAAGGCGCGAATCTACTGACCGGAAGGTCCGTGGTTCGAACCCAGTCTCGGCATCTCGACTGTTACTGTCTAGGCTTGGACAACCTGGCAGTGTCTCAACCCCTTTTGTTACAGCTGAACGATTATTATTTATTATGGTCACCCTAGGGGACGAAGAGTGGGACTGGTCAGTGTAAAATTGGTCTAAATCAACGCAACTTCGAAAAAATCACCCATTGGCCTTTGGTTTTTCACTATGGGGAGCAATGGGTTGCAAACATTTTCATGTCCTCTGCATCCTTTATTGGATACTCCGTTAACGGATGAGTCGATTCATGACATAATTGACCCGATGCCTTTACTTCACTTGACCTTTACTCGGCGCCACTCGTTGGATTTAATGATCCTACATCAGATCAAACATGGTGGTGCTCACCTGGTCTTGATGAGGGGTTGATCTCGCCACAGAGGAGGGAGCATATTCGAGGGGTTACTTTACGAAGCAGATTCAGCCTACTCTTCTTTATCATGTATAAAACAATATTTGGGCAATACTTTGTGTAAAGATCATCAAAACGTCCCCATAAATAAACCCACTTTATTCAATCCAATAAAAGCAGTTACATTGAGTGTTGTAATCTCAACGAGTTGAGGCAAAAAGATGTTAAGATAACTGCTTCGAACATGTAGTTTGACCGCATATCTTAGCATCCAACTGAGGAAATCAGGATATTGGATGTGCAGTTTTTCACGAGTGTCTCATTCTAGAAGCTTGGATAGGTTACTGTATACGGTTTAGACGTTCACCTTCCTTGACCAAGTGCCGTCGGATATTGGACCATAGTGCATCCTGTTTGTCCGGAAATTAACCGTGGCTTAGGTTATGAAACTGTTACATAGGATCCGTCATTGGACACATGCGGTAGGTGTTGGGTACTATGTTATTGTTGTTGCTAATGGTGTTTCGTGCGATTCACAGAATGACTTGATGTGTAGAATGCGGTGAAGCTGTCCCGTAAACGTGTGTGCAGCATCTAAGCACGATAGGAGGGTGCTCAGTTCTGGGGCTTTTGGAATCATGACCTTCCTCCGGGAATTTCTCCAGTTGTTTGATTGTTACCTTCAATGAAGAAAATGGGGATAGATATTCAACAGCCATCGGGCTCTCGGGTAGTAAGTAAAAAGAATATTGTCACAATATCTCCCACTGTGAATCGTATTTTCCTCAATTGGTCATTTATTACATATGGAGACTAATTGCCTTAGACTTCTTGGGAGCTGGTTAGATGTTCTCAACTCATATTGACTTCCAACTGAGAAATAATCTCCCTGTTCACTTGTTACATTTTGTTCTACCCATCAGCCGTTGCAGTGGGACACTGGCTTGTGTTGTGGATGCGATTTCTCATGAAGTTTGAAACGTAAAGTTATTCTGCAGCCGTTTCGGACTTGCAGCTAATTTCTTGAGCTTGTACGAGACTCAGACCCTTGACTGTAGGAGGTGAAAATGGAGTACGAGTAGGCAAAATTCGTACCGTTAATTCTTCGTCACCACTTTTCCCACTCAACCAACTTTCCCGAAAGGCTCTTTGCGAAAAACCAAGTGAATGATGAAAATGAGCCAGGGAGGGTCAGAAAATGACTTGGTAGCGAAGTATGAAAGCCATTACCTGCAAACTCAGCTGCGCTGGTCATTGCCGTCCCCTTGTTTGGGGTCCTGAGACGGGACACACCAGTTGTTAAAGACATTGTCAGACATGGTCCTATCGCACCCTCAGTGGTGCTCATTTATTCACGACTCCCCTCCCAATCTCCCCAATGAAAAATCTGCTGGCAACTCTGCATTTATGCATCAATTATATCAGCTACAGCCTTCAATGCGAAGCTATCTACCTCACCTCCCCAAATCGTGGGTGAACGAAACTGAAAGTTAAAACCACTGTATGACAGGTATGCGGTCTTTACAGCTGGTGGTGACTTCCCCCAAAATTTCTCACACGGTGTAGCGTACTTTATTGATGGATGTTATGTGAGTCACCGCAAAATCGGAAGATATGTTCCTTTTGTTGGTGAACAACAGCTAAAATACGGAAGTAAACAGCATTATTAATCTGGAGTTCTTGGGCCGTCTGTTGCTTTTTCTATTATGCTCACAGATATAGCTGTGTACAACACCAGAGGGCTGAGACCCCGGTTTGCCAGTAAAAGCTCTTGCGAACCCCTCTATGCGTAGTTAGGTTGCCTGCAAACCCCGGCGGTTATCACGAATGGGTTACTCGACCCCAGTGTTGCGACTGCGCCTTGTTACAACCAAGGCAGTGGCTAAAAGAGAAACAGACCGGATCAGGCACAAAACCAGTGATGGTCCGTGCAAGTTTATATGATCTTAAAAGCCGGATTGTGGTACCAGGGTGAGAATAAACAAACTCAGCGAATGAGCTGTTTCCATTATATTCTGTGCTGCCGATGGGTCCTGGCTCGTGCTATGTTGGTGGCTGACCAGATACAGTCATTTGGGTTAGCGCCCAGCTAAGCTTTGTGAAAGAGATCCTCCGTTTTACCACATCCTTTAGTGAACTAAGTGGTGATGTGGGCACCCAGCTATTCCCTCGAAAGAATAAGTAAAACAGTGGACTTCTGATGTTGATGAATCGACTGGTAGGTGTCCTGAGCTATCTAACTTTTTCTGATATAGTCAGGGTTAGATATGCTTGTGCACTGAACGACATACTTCGATTCACACAGCAGCCTTGGATTACTGTGCATAGTAATACACTTTTCAGATTACCCTATAGTCATCACGATGGCCTCCTTTGTCAGTTTGTCCGGAAGACATGTTTCTCGCCTTTCTTCAGTGAGCCACGGATGCAAATCTGACGAATTGATTAGTGCGTGGGGCCCTGTTGTTCATGGAACGTTTTGAGACCCTGTTGAGATGTCTAGCCATCAAAACACCTAGGACAACTAGAATGCCATTGGTTCAGTCTATCGGTTGGAGTGGTAACCAGATTTAAATCAATCCATGGCTGCAGCATCTGAAGAAGAGACTTTTCATTCGTGCAGATCTTGTTTTTCTGCCTTGGTAAATATTGCAACAAGTGTGCGGGCAGTGATGCCACTCCGTTACCGGCAACTACCTCCTCTCCTTTAACTTCTTAAATAAATGCCTCTGGGAGGCTTAGACCGGCAGTCCCACAGGCACACGAGTAAACAAGTGTGAAACTTAGTCGCATTGAACAGGAACATTTAAGACTCCCTGCCCGCACGCCCCAAAGTATGAATGGTTTCAAAATGTCGCATTCTATTTTCTTCCGTCTCAGTGGTCAGGCGAATAAAGACGAATTGTCGTTTACAAACATCGATAGTTCAAGACTATTTATAAGTTGAAAGAATTTTTCTGCAGAATCTGATGGAGAAATCAGCCCATCTCAGATTAAACGTCGTTGATGATGGGATAAGTGAAATTCAAAGCTTAGAACGCGTTTCTCGCCACCTCATTGGTCGGAACTTACCCCAGGCGTTTCGGCCACTCGTTCACACTCGAACGGGTCGAGAATAACTGTCATCATTCTTCCTTTGGGTTACGTTGCAGCTCACCTGGAACCCAGCTGCATCTCTCGTTCTTACTCGGAGAGCCTCAAGAGGGATGAAACCGGTCATGGGCTGTCGAACAGTTCTCAGCAACCTAACGAGTAGTGTGTTATGCCCATGCAATGTATTGTGATGTCCCGAATATCGTATCAGGCGGCCTGATGCAGCACATTCAGTTGAAAAAGAACTTCATAAACGACAGGTTTATCTGGGTTCCTGGTGAGTCTCCCGTCAAAACCAAATCACTAGCAATCTTTCTGCGACCGTCTACGAGAATTTCCTCGTCGATTATTTTGAACTGGCTTCTTACTTTCCAACACACTACGAATGCTGACCTACTAACGCCCATTAGCAAGAACGCTGGTCATACTGAGTATGGAACCACGAAACGCTTCGATTAAGCCACCTTCCGAGACATGTGCTAACAAACTAGAGTTCTTGTGTTCGTGTGGAGTCATTTGTTGCCAACCTGTGAAGAGCATTTTACGTGGTCACTGATATTCTAAAAACATCGTAATTGACCAGAACAGAGGACTGTCGCTTTTGGGGTTTGAAAGGTACATATATATAGCCCAGAAGCGTCATTGTGTGGAGCAGTTTAACGGTTTTCTGAAAGGTCGTGAGGAACTCTATAGAGATAGCCTGTTCGTTGACAACAGCTAAGCAAACATACGGCTGAAAGTCAGGCTTGCACGGATACTTTCGGTTTGATCAGTAAGAAGCATGAACTAAAAACGACTAGCTTACATCGCCTATTTGTCCAGGGTAGGTTGCGCTGTCTGGGGATTCTCTGTATGGATGCCGTTGCGGAGTTTAAATCGAACAGCCTGGTCCCTGCAGGCGGTTCTACTCAAGAGTCAAGACATATTTAAAAATATCTTCAAGGACAAAGTTAAAAAAGAAATGGATATCAGACATCCTCGAGGTACTATTGTAGCTGCGTATACAGCAGAGGTCCCTTACGTAGGCCACGAACGTATGCCATTTCGAAGAACTATATCCTGTAAGCTAGGTCGATGTGCGTGATTAAACCATAGTCCCGTTGTTCAGCCGTGGATGCGCTATCGTTTCTGATGCATTCAGTTGGGCATTAGAATGGGAGTAAGCTAGGTTGATGTGCGTGATTAAACCATAGTCCCGTTGTTCAGCCGTGGATGCGCTATCGTTTCTGATGCATTCAGTTGGGCATTAGAATGGGACGCAATGTGATCTGGTCAACAAACACTAAGCCGGCAAGTTCTTCACGGCTAATCTGTCCTATAGGATGCGAACGATTAGCGCTCTCGTCCGTCAAGCAGAAACGTTCTTGCTTCAAGATTCTGTTAAGTGCATTAGCGATCCGCTATTAGGGCGCCATAACCCGTCTTTGCCAAGGGATTCCCGTCCCTAATGACACCAATGACATCGTGCACCCCCAACCACAACTGATGGCACTCTTCCTTGTATCACTGATGTTGGAGTTACCGTTGGTGAACTAGTGATGAAAGTGCCCCTCTCAACAGCGAACTGACCGGGGGAGATTCGTTGTGGGCGTCCCATCAAGTTCACATGTTGTTTCGCCGAAGCCCCTCGGCTGGTGGAATCAATCCAAATGGTAATTTTTACCCAGACTCACTCCATCCGTTCAGCCCATGCTTTGGTAGACCTTAGAGCAGTTCACCTTTGATGATTATCTTCTCTATATCTCAGACAAAGTCAACAAGGTTTGATCCAGGGCAGGTTCAACAACGAAAGGTCGAGTGATATACACGTTCGAGTATTTACAAGCCTGGATTCTGACTGGTTCAGGATGATGTAACACAAATAGCCAATGTGGTAGTTTACCGCCTAGTTCAAACGCAATATCTCGTCCGAATGAATTGATGGTAGTGTATAAGCGCAACCAAGTTGCATCATCCGTCACATGCGCCTGTCAAAAAGTGTAACCAGTGCACAGCCTAGGTGGTTTTTCTTGTACCAGTGGTGGGATTAAATGTATCCTCTATCGGTATATGACATCAATTTGATCTATTTGGTTTAGATGCTGTGTGGTGAACACAGGACGTCGGGTAACATGATGATGGCAGTGATTCCTGGGACTCACGGCTTGAACCTCGTAACTAGAAAAGTCGCTGCTCTGCACACATTTGAGAGACGGCTCTTGGTGTAACTTCCATGGGTATTCAAGGATAGCCGAAGTGACATGAATCTAAGCTCAAACATCCTGCATGTACTAGTCAGGTTTTATCAAAGTTGACATTTCAGTGGTCAGTGCCTAGGGTAAAAGCACAAATAATAAAGCCGTCCTGTATGTATGGAAATTAACCCTCAGTATTCTGCTACCGCGCACACTTCGCCATTGAGCGCTATTCATTCCAAAATGCAGCTCTGCCATCCTGACTGAAGGCTATTCCGATATGGAGCCATTAGGTCACCGGGGCACGATATATGGTAGGTTGGTTGGTCAATTATGGACAGACAGTTCTAGGGTTCAAACCTACGTCGAACCACTTTACAGAACAACCTAAAGCTGCCCGGGGTCCCATCTGTTTGGTCACTGTAATGAGCAGTGTGGAGAACTCACGGAAGTTCTCTGCGTGAATATGTTCATCCATTCGCATGTTCGGAGGACAAATAGTCGAAGCTGCGTAGTTCACACATGGTGTTAAATTTGTGATGTGCCGTGGTCACAGGGCCGGAAAAGAGGGTTCACGTGAAAGTCTAGGCCCGGTCCCTTCAATTTAATAGCCTAAATGTCAGGGACATGCACGTATGTCATAATCCATTGGGTAGTGGGAACCATAAGAGCAGTGCATACTCACTTTAGATGGCTGACGAGCATTTGGATCCCCAGTACGGTCAGGAACATGTGTGCCGGTGAGTTCCATGTATCGTCCTTTCTAAGGAAGCCGGTGACAAACAAAGATCATTCGGTCATCTGCGCTGTTGCCGATTCACCTATTATTATTCTGTCCCAGTAGATACAAGCGAGGTTCCAGTGACTATTTAAGGTTCCAGTGCGCGTTAATCGGACTGCCGATCAGCTGATTCTCATCAAACAGAGGTCACGGGTCTGAAAGTCCTTAGAGTTTCATGAAATGCTGATGATTCCCAATAGGTAGAGTGCATCTCGGCTTTTCAGTCTAGATTGCCCTCACGGAACTATTGAATATTTGGGTCAGTCGTGCTGACCTAATACAATGCCGTAAATAGAAGTTTTCGATTCTTTAAAGATCCACATGACCAAGCCAGCACCCTTCGCTTCGTGTTTGTACCGTTACTGCCTATATGTGGCCGGTTATTCACCAATTGGCTTGTTCGCAGCTAACCTGCTGTGTAGGCGAATAGTAGTTCTCCGAACACAACTAGGGGACGGGCCTGGTGGAATCGAGCCACGCCTCATCTTGCATGCTCTATCCGCTCGAATACAGGAAGTAACTAAAATACACCTCTCGAGTATACTTCTGACCAAGTTCCTCATAACATATCATTCATGAAGGATCAAGGCCCATTTTACGCACAGTAGGAAAGACTCATTTGCCTGAACCCATCTATCCAGTAGGCCATGAGTGTTCTTGGACGAATTCGGATGTGAAACGTGATCAGATCCAGACATAAACTTCATTTAACTCGGCGAAGTGCGTGATCTGGTGAGGTGGGATAGACATCACCAGACGCTCACTCCAACCAGTTTGCTTAATCCATAGGAGGGAAAGCAGTCAAGGTTCTGATTTACGTATCGCCTATCCTCTTTGCTTCCAGAATGGCAACTTAAGTTTAACCGTATGAGTAAAACATTGGGGATCCAACATCCCCAACTAAGTGACTCAAAATCTCGGGTTTGTCGGAAAAATATGAGTTTTAAACCCCAAGATTATGTCTGCCATGTCGATCTTGAGCGCTGTTAACTAAAGGGTTGTGAGTTCAACAATCAGATGGATTGTGACCGAACTGAGTGGATCAAATTTGAAGGCGATACACTTCTCCACAAGCTATTAGTATATTTATTGAAAAAGGAACTGGGAAAATCAACCAGAAGATGCTTGAAAAAACGGTGAGATGACTCCCAAGGAGCACATCTTATCAAATAAAGAGAATACTTAAATTGGGAAGCGCCCTTACTCTCGTTATAACGATTGGAGGAGTTTGAAATGCACGAAAGAAGATGTGAATGCAAATCATGTTCACGAAAGGCTGAAATCAGCAGAGTGATGCCAAGGGGAAGTACAAAAGGGAAAAATAGGACTCAACCTCGAGGGTTCATGTGGCTCAGAGTCCTACCAGTATGATCGCAGAGAGAACGAGCGCATTCTAATTGTATGCTGTTGATTGTGAGAGCAATTATTGCAAGGAACAGAGATCTTTTGACGATGCCAGTTAGGGAGCAGACTAAATACCTACCTCTTTCCAGCTATTCTCGGATGACAACGTGCTCGTCCATGGTCCTTATCTGAAGGAATCGTGGTTATTACGTGCTAGCACTCGTCTACTGAATGGTCCTATGCACAATCAGGTGTTGAATCCTATTGAGAACGCCTGGGTAATCAGAGTAAGAAGGGTGTGTGAAGGTCATTGTAGCTTCAATATACTGGAAGACATGCGGGCGTAAGTCTTGGAAAAGCGGTAAAAACCTACTCTAGACTTTCCTAGTGAGAAGCATGCCGAGATGATAAACTTCAACTCCCACTTTGTTTTGGGTCTACTAGCGTTTCGCATTCGGGTGACACGCTGTACGATAGCTCTACTGTGTTTGTGTATCTATGGTCAACAGTTAGAATGCGTTCAGTAGTCACGTGGCTTGGGTAGATGCATTTCCGGTTGTGGTACCCTACTTGCGAATGGGTATGTATACGAATAAATAATGTCTTTTGGGCTCTGGTATAAACATGTCACTGCGCTTAGACTGGGAAGTTCCTCTGACCATTCTCTGAGTGTATTGAAGGGCATTCTCAACTCTTTTGGCGTATTGTTCGGGATGAGTCGATTCTGCCCATTCAAATTCGAACTGGTCTACATATGCACTTAGGAAATGGATCCATTCATCGGTAAATCATATCTAATCACCCTGCGTATCAAAATCCGTGAGTATTTAGGGGATTTTCAGAGGTTTTAGGCTGTGTTTCATCTCACAATCGAAGTTACTTTGTACTGAAAAGCGGAGAAGCACTCTACAAAGGCTGTCCTCTTTGCATTGCTTATCTATGGTGAAGGATAACTGAATTGTCCTTATTACACCCCCGAGCACTTTACACCTCTGTCAGTTACAAGATAGGATAAATCTTGAATAAAATGCTATTGATGAACACACCTGATTCAGCAAGTTCTCGTTCTTCCTCAGCCAGAAGGAGTGCATCAAGTTGTTCGTCAGTCAGAATTTCATCTCCCGACCAATTTAGGGACCATGGAGTTGTTTCTCTGTGTTCCTGGATAGACTACATTGAAAGCAAACAAGTAAAATTGTAAATCCGTATGTGATGTATTTTATTCCATACCGTCATTTCGATGAATTCTATGGGCATGCACAGAAAAGCAACTCGTCAAGGACCTCATGAAAACTGATGAATTGCTGTTTTCGGCTTACAACTGAGAAGTCGACAGCAGGATTTTAAAAATTGGACTTTTTAAGATAAGTGCTAGTGTAAACAAAGGGGCGAGTTTAACGTAACGGCTCACTGGTCCTGGGATTCTCCTGTCAGGGGGTAATGTCACATGTGGCATTAAAATGGAAACATAAAGATGGATGAAACCTTGTGTTCACTGCGATTACCTATGGGCCTCTATCAAGAGTGAACAAAAGCAAGCATTGGCTACTTGGAGCCTAAATGGTAGAGTTTTCGCTCCTATTTCGTGGTGGTGACATAGTCATACGGACAAGATGTGTTCCGCCAATAGCTTGAGTTAGTTCTATACAGGAACGGTAAAATATTAATAGCAACTTGACACAAAGCCAAATTAAATGTGATTCAATGCTACGTTCCATTATGCTCGAAACAAAATCGAAAAGTGCCCGTGATGAAACTATCTGAAAACGTTGAATTGCGACTTCAGCTCGACTGCTAGGCGGCCGAAAACGACTAGTTTTCATGTAGAACCCGCATATCCTCCCTCACTGCTCTGTCAAACTTCGTACTCCTCACTTGACCCTGGCATGCTGGCCACAAACCAAATCTCCGGTTTCGTCCTACTCTCTTTCAAACTCAACTGCAGAATGGTAACTTCGAGAAAGCCGGTATGCTGTTGCCATATCCTCCCTCACTGCTCTGTCAAACTTCGTACTCCTCACTTGACCCTGGCATGCTGGCCACAAACCAAATCTCCGGTTTCGTCCTACTCTCTTTCATTCGAAGGACAAGAATGGTAACTTCGAGAAAGCCGGTTATGCTGTTGCTACACATTATCGATTGATTGTTTCCCACCATGAAAGGATAAAAACATTCGGAGTGAGCGGAACACTCACATAGGAGTGGGAAAGCCATCAAGACCGATAGGCAAAGAAGAAATGGCTGTACCCCATCTGAATATTACTCAATTGTCTGTCATGAGTCATGGATGTCTACCAGGCGGATAGCCAAGGTAGAAGATAGAAAGAGGGCACAAGTTTGCTGGGTCCGTCGAGGACCTACATGCACCAGACAACAATAGTCAACGTGTAGTTGATATTTTTATCCGTGCTCACCGACGCAATGAATATACGCTCATTTCGACGGACAGTGTCTTCGTGTTGGGCAAAGCGGATGCTGAGCTACAATCCGAGTGCCGAGAATTTGAGTATGGTTCACCCGTATCATTCCGGTTAACAGGGCACCGTGGATCAGAAACGTACTATGGTCTGTGAGTGTCGAACAAGTCTCACTCCTTCTTAGTCAAATAACTTCATGCGACTGCAGCAACTTTTAGAAGCATGAGCTGGACCACTGGGCGCGTGACATGTGAATATCTACATGAGGATTTGAACTGGGTCACAGGTTTGTGATGTTCATATGACCATCGTTACGTGGTAGTCTCTTGTGCCTTATACGTGAGATTTAGAGTGTGATAGTCACATATTTCCTTTGCGTTTGATACTACCGATCCCGCGGTACTAGCCAGGTGAACTGATTCAGTGTCACGTATGGCACCCAAACAGCTGATAAGCCACAATTTCTTCTTAGTTCCATTCGCTACCGCTCAACTTAAAACTTTCAACTTTTCAGCAGTTATTCTTCAATTAGGTGTTCGATGAACCTACCACTGAATTTGTCATAGTGTGCGTCGAATACCCAAAATAATGTTGTTTGTTTAAAGCATGTGAAAAACTTTTAAGGCCAGTCTAATGGAGAACAAAAGCAGCGACTTTCAGCGCACACAAATCCTTTTTTTCATTTATCATAGGTCATTGCCAAATTGCTTCTTAAGCTATGACAGTGTTATCCTCGAATTCTGTTATGCATTCGCTATCCGTCTTTCAACAGAACATGTTCAGCCAAGAGGAAACTGGTCACCGTGCTTAACGTATTTTCGAATGGCATGTGGTCACTTACACGCGCAGACTGAAATGTAGATATATGGAAAAACAGTGGTGGCGTGTATCGGGCAATATAGGCGATGCGCATGGATCTTGAAATGCCATTTTTACCTGATATTCACAGGACACTAATAAGCGCTGGTTCTTGTGTGTCCTGATGTGGGGAATAATTATGATTTTCGTATCTTTTTGACTACATGGTGTGTAGTCATCACAAAAATTGGATTTCAAACTCGAACAGTCTTGGAACGTTCGTTAAATGCTTCGGATGCGCAGACACAATTTGCCGAGAGTATTATGTGTTCGTCGTACACCTTATCTGCCAAGAACCCATCACTTTTTTTGAAATCAACATAAAAGGTCTATGTTATCGCTGGTTCTTGTTATGCCCTTCTCAAGGGGACTATTTACGAAGATTCTGGTTAGGAAAACTTAAATTCAATGCATCTTTGAGGGCACATATTTTGTCATTTTCCATCGCCGATAGCAAGAATTCGTAAGAGTTCAGTTCGTCACAGAACTGTTATTTTGCTCACATCGAGAACAGTTCATCAATTCGTACCGGTTACGATCGAAACCACCTCAATGATGGCATAGGTTGTTGAAACTAAGAGCACTATTCATTCAAAGTACACGCTTGGAAGCGTTATCGACTGGGTCTCTGAAGTAACCTTGGTGGGATTTCGAATCCTTTCGGCAGGCAGCACCATAGTTAAGGACTCGTCTGCACACCAAATCAAAATCGATCATAAGTTTAGTGAGAATCGACCTTGAATGAAACGTAACTGTTCTAGACTGAACTGGAGAGGCAAAAACCGAGAACAGTGAGTGAACTTATTAGCGTTTCACGCAGTATATAAGAATGGTAAACGAAGTGTCCGGTTTGGTTTGTGACCACGTCAACAACGTCTCTCATGATCGATTAAAAAGAAATTTGGGATGACTGATTGTTCCAAGTAAAGTTTCCTGCCATACACTGTTCAGAAATGCTCACCAGTACGCAGACAGCGTTCAGTCCTGCCTATATATTTGTCATCGCAGCTACAGGTGAACTGATATACAACATCCGATACAGACCAGTTTTGTGAGCCTTGTTCTGTAAAGAACACAGAAAACAAGAATATGACTGGGCATGTATCGAACTTTAAGATACATCATTCGTAAGATGATCACCCTCGAGTGTACCAGTCCCACAAAGAACGCACCATCGATTCAGAGAGCGAGAATGTAATTTCTAGGGTTGTTCTGTCCGGATGATGGGCCTGGTAAGCGTTTGTAATCCACAGTGGACATTTGAGTGATATTTAGCTGCATTGACGAATCAAATTCAATCGGTGTATGAGCGCAGCCATTTGTCCTTTGCTTTTCGGTCCAGCTGGTTTCCTTGTGTGAGTGTCCCGTCTGTATTACGGTCGAACTAATTTGACAGCATCCCAGTGTCTCATTTCTCATTACAGTAGCGAACCAGAGTGAACTGCAAAAAAAACGGCTCTAGAATGTAATTTTACGGTTCTAAATTTGTACTTCACGCAGCTAAGGTTGGAATGGTTTGATTACCTGTTGACCCGCAACAGCATAGAAGGTTGGTTGCAAAATTTCTTGCGGCAATGCCCTTTTTCACCAACTCACTCAACCATCTGCACATATATAACCATTTTTATCCGGTTGCTAAACTTTGCTGTTATAGAATCAGAATCGCGGAAGTTATGTTTGAAGAACGGGGTATGCTATTTTATCACCGGGTGCATACGGTCCATAGTCGGATTTATTATGTGTACATCTGTTAGGCATTGCGTTCATATAGAATTAAATGGTCATGTGATTGAAGTTCGAGAAACTCACCGATTGATCTCGGACTCGGAAAAACAACAGACTAACCGAATAACTGTGGCCGAACCGATGAACCCTAAGAAGTCCGAAAAAACTCACACCTGTTCATAATTATCCCACTAAAAATCTAGAACAATTCCCTAGTTCCTCAATCGCCAAGTCAAGCACATCTAACGATATAAATAACTTGAACATCAGTACAAACGCTTATTGACATGTGTTAAAATTCTTCCACAGGCGAAGTTTATCTGCGACATGGTTTCACAGAGAATCGGTGTGGGGCTGTATGTGACAGTCTGGATGGAATGAAATTGTGGGTATATGTGAAGAAGTGCGTGACCTCAAAATGTAACCGTTTGCGCCACGTGTATAAACGATCTCTTACGATCTCATACTACATAAAATTCTTTGGCACATGTTTAAATGATGTCAAATGAATTGGGAATCGCAGTAACGCAATCATGCATGACAATTTGGACTACTTGGGTCTCACAGCCTTGGAAGGTGAGAATGCGAAATTCTTGGGCAAATATATCGGCAAACAACTTATTTCCAGCACAGTGACATCATGCCCAAACACTTACCGGTTCACTGAATTTATTTGTGATGCTATGACCTTGCATTATCAAAGTGGGCGAAGTCTTTACTCGTTGACATGAAAGTCTTCGGGCTGCCAGCAGCTGAAAGGTTGATAAAGAAGAGAAACTCACAATGTTTCAGCAGGAACATGACATAACATCTCATGCGGTATCTTCAGACAACACAGACGGTAATGCGGTTTGCCTCATAGTTGCAGTGCAAACTGTAGTAAACACGTTATCTGCTGATTGAGATGTCAGTACAGTTGAAGGATCCCAGCCAGCTGCTTTGGCATTTGAGATTTTAGATATACAAGGTCATCCTCACACAAGATGCAGCTAAAGGACAGTAATTTCATCAACTATATATGAGAGAGTGGGGTCATTGTGGTCCCAGAATTATCCGATCATCGAGATCTGCAAGATGTGCGTAAATCAGCACGACACTCCCGTCAAAGCATACCAAAGCATATTCGACTACGACTTCTCGGAAACATGTTATGCAAACCGAAAAAAAGTTCCTCGATCCAGGCCTGTGTGGGAGTCGAAGTTGCAACCTAGAGAAGGGGGAATAAAAACCCGAATGCCCACTATCAAACAAAACGTTTACCAAGTTGGTCTGTATTGTGTCTTTGGTGTACTAATTTGGAAGCAAGACTGGATCATCAGTGGTGCAGCTCTTACGTTGGATAGTTGGACACGCGCAAATGTGATGTCTGGTGGGCATTTAGCCAGACTAGAAAATACATGAACCATCTGAAGCCATACTTTCTACATCCAAGTAAAAAGTGAAGTAGGAAGAAATACCAAACAGGAAAAGCGAGACACAAGACCTTCTGTTATAACGCATTAGTCCACTACCTGAACAACTCATTGATGCAGTGAGTATCTCAAGCTTTGTTTTCTCCCCTTCTTACTTACCTAACTGACTTGCTTACGTGCTCACATAGTTACTTACGCTATGGGGTCTTACTACGTTTTCTGAGGAGTCAGTTCCAGTGATATCTCGGATCACCATAGCTACGGAAAGCCAACCTGAAGCACAAATGATATAGTCATCATTCCATTGACCTACGCGGTGCGACTGATGGAGATGCAATCCAATGCCTACTCGTATTGTAGCGATGAATGCTGTTAATATGTATTTCGGGCAACTCTACTTTGAACATTTATTGGGACGAGATGGTTTTCTAACGTCAAGGTGGAGTCGAATGTGTGATACGTACCAGGTGCAAAAGCAGCCTGAGATAACACCGGAAGCGAAATTTCCCCTATGCACGTGTTCTGCAGTAATCTTTTTTTCGGCTGAAAATTTGGGTAGCTGCTAGCTCAGCTTCACATGGCAGAAGAACAAAGAAAATCTTTCTTCGAAGGTGGGTATTTTTGCAGAAGAACTTGCTGGTTGAAAACACTGAATTTGAGTCAGTTTTTGACACCTCACATTTCATGAGGAAAGCTTCAGGGCGTTAAGCGGGTGTATCTTTGATGGAACATAGAAGTAGCGTGTGCAAATTAGCTACTTTCATCTGGCATACTGAGGACAAGGGATCGTTAGCTATATTACTAGGCTCACATGAGGACCAAGCGTAAAGGTCTTTCATGAAATATGCTAGAAAGCAGACACGACTGTACTGACTGCGATGACATGATAGTAATAACTTTTATCTGTTTCAGTTTAATCTCTTCAGTTTACTCGTTCCTGTCCCGTACGCAACGCCGATGTGTTCAACTGGATGCTCCCTGAACCTTTCTAAACGATTGATTGGGTCACTAAAAATCAAAGTATACAAACTGTGCCGGCGTTGAAGAATGGTGAAAACAGCAGTCCAACCATCCGGTCATTAAACGCATAAGTTTTTGGTCATCGCTCTTCTTCCGTGTACGATAAAACGCAAATTCCTGAGGTATATTCTGACGGGTGAGGGCATGTTTCCGAAAGAAATAGGGGCCTGCTGCAAAAAATAATTAACATTGTGAAAATGATTCCTGTTTGCGGTTTTCTCATGACCAACCATTGAGCCACGGGTACGCCAAATGTTCGATTGAGGAACAGCTTGTTTGCCTGCTGTATGAACGATGTTACGTGTCTATATTGACAGTGGCAGACGGAAGTCGCGGTACAGAGTAGTTAGATGCCACTTCAGCATTAGTGACACGCGGAATTAACACAAATCAAAGTGCTTGTTTCGTGGGCGTTCATTGAGAGTATAGTTACATATCAGTCCAAAGCCGGCCGAGATATGACACTCCGCCTTAAGTACCGATGGTGGTGGAGCGTGTAAGACAGAACTCTCTGAAAGATACAAACAAGCCTAGACTAGTACGTGCTGGGCTTCACGTCTCTACAGTAGATTAATTTATCATACATAGGTCCCCGTTCAAATCAGCTAAATCTTACTGATTTCAGTATTTTCACCTTTGACAGGAATCTAGTGGATACGTTTAAGAAGCTAGTTTCTTTGGGATTCTGGCAGTTTCTAGGTCATGCACTTTAAAAAAAATTAGCAAACCTGAGGTTCATCTGATTGTTCATCACACACTACTAACATATAGGTAGTAAGGTTAAGTTTCTATGAGTGCATTTTCTCCTAACAGTACGAACAGCTCAACAGAATCCATTGTGTAACTGAGTCTATTACCCGGAGAGCCTTTATCGAGAATTTATACGTTGTGAGTCCGAAAGTACACCATATTTCCTGAAACCATGCTAACCACGTTACCCCAGGTGGTTAGCTAGCTGGCTGCAAACTCGCGACACAGTCGGCTGGATTCCAGATAAGATTGTTTCCCGCAATACGGTAGTAAAAGCTCAATCTCAGGTGACTGGCACAGGCGCTAGCCCTCGGTTTTTTTTGGAGAAGGGTTAAATGCCTAATCATGAGGAGATTCAAAGTTAGTTGTGCGAAAATATCTATTCGCTTTTTTCCTGGTTCTTTAGCCATGGCGTTTGGGGAGTTAGGTTGACTTGGCTGTCCAAAATAATGACCATCAAAGTGTTCATATGTGTGATCTAGTTGGAGGTTGGCGTATGAAATGGACGTCCAGTATGTGTGTCTGACTTGCTTGTATACTGGATCAAATAAGGATTCTCTTTCTATTTGCCCCAAAGACCGTAAACTTAGTAAGAAACAGTTATGTGAACTTGAGCTATTGAAAAAGGCGTTACTAGTATGCATAGGAAGCGTCACAATGATCTTCAAAGGATCACCGAACTCTGTTATCCTGTATTTGGACAAAGGTGACTCAGTAAACCACAAATCGAGGAGGTGAATGGGAATCCTGTGAATTCAGTTGGATTTACCCTCGTTCGACGCAAAAAGAAAGGGTGAAATTCGGAATCTTCTTGTTCATTTGGATCATCCGAAATACCAGCAGGTCCATGGTTATGAATTAAGTAAACTACATATTTGATAATCCCAAGTTTGGGGGCCATTAAAGGCCGATTAAAACGTGCATGACTTGGCTCAAAGAATTGGTACTGACAGGCTCTGTGAAAGCAATCTGCAACCAGAAGAATTCGCCATCTCTTGAGCGCTCGCGTGCTTCTGGTCAAATTTAGTTCAAAGATATCAGTAAAAGGAGAAAGGCTTTCGCTGCGCAGTTACCAGAAGCCACATACTACCCCAATGCCTCAAAAGTAGTATCCACTGTTACATCAGTAGTAGGTAATTTTTGTTGCTGTGTTTTTGACGGCATACTCAAGCCATCATGGCAGGATTCGCATAAACCAGAACTTTGAAAACCATGTTTCTCTTATGAATGCGCATTGCTGGCTAAATAGTGCACTCTAAATTTGCATCCCCACATGTCTTCTATAAGCACGTTGGTAGTTTAGATGGTTGTTATTGGCAACGGTAAAAACTCTGCGGCTGCATAATGAATTTCGGTATTGGAGGTGGGTCTTACCCTCTTGTTGCTCAAAATGTCATCGATTCTACTATGGGGTAACTATTCCAAAGACTGTGTCATCACGAATTCCGTGGTCTTTCCAAAGACTAGCATACCGCTTTGAGCTCTGTGTGCCCACTTTGTACAACCGATGCACAGCGTTTCACAATTTATCGAGCGCAGCCAGTCTGATAACAAAAAATCGTAATTTGGCTGTGTAAACTGCTATTATACCAGTATAACTGTCATCAGTTAGATTGCCCTGGATTAGATATCTGTGTTGATGATCATGTTACTCCGTCTCAGATGTAAGTTTTGCAATCAAGTGAAGTTATCCTGTACTTCAAAGCCAAGAGTGACTGTGTCACCTTCTCATGCTTGCTGATAGACACCTAACCGTGTACTGAACGTGACACCAATGATGACGCGAGGTGTTCAACCTAAAGGCCAAGCTTGGCGAACAGACCGACTTTCAGCTGATCAACAGTCAACATCGATGCAAATATCACGAGCTTGCAGAAGGAGTTGAATACTTAACAGACATTAGACATCCAGCTACAGGTGGCAGGTCAGAAGTACAATTAACTTGAGATGCTATCTATCAGTCACCACCGTCATCGGGCACTGACTCCTCGAGTGGGAGATTCACGTAGAAAATCCTATGTGACCTGTGGAGTTGTTTCCTTTTGCAAAGATCAATATTTTGGAGTTGTTTAGTTGATTTGGCAACTTCAACCTCCATGAGTAAAGTCAACGACAAATGGTTCTATGCAGTGTCCAGCTGCAAGTTGGTTAACCATTTGTGTGGTACTTACCTACCCACCGGTTTGAGTCTCCCTAGAGGTTCATGAAATACACACTACTGATGATTTTGAATGAAAACGAAATGTGACTACAATAATTTTAAGCATTCTGGAATGGAATGGGTTCAAATACGATGTAAAATCCAAGTTCTATGTAACAAAATATCTTGTTTATGAAGATTTTGTCCTTCCGGACATGGGGTGACGTGTATGTAGTGCCTATATTCACCTGTGTTGATCAACACACATTGTGAACTTCAAACCCACCAGTCAAAACTAAGTTTACTAAGCTTACTTCTATCATGCATTGAAAGCACAGTTCAGGGGAAACCGGGTGTCCAAATCATCCGCGCCATCAGGAGGTTTACACATGTCGACGGTGACCATAGGTTTTCAGGCTAAGTGGATCTC